CAGAATAGGATTCTCTAGCATTTTTAATCACAATTACCATGAAAATTGTTTTTCTGGCATTTACCACAATTCTCTGAGCAAGGATGTCCACATTCTAAAATTTTACCACATTACTTATAGCATCCATTTTTTAGTTCAAAATCAAAAGGATCCTCAAGACATTTTAGTTCAATTACATGCTTGCAAGTGGGTAAGATCTTATTAACATTTACTGTACATTTTTCTTTAGAACAATCAAAGGAACATATTTTTGTGCAATAATGTCCACAATCTTTTACTTTATTGCAAAGTGATTTGCATTTGGCAGTGTATCTTTCAAAACATTTGACGGTATTGAAATGACCACATTAGCCCATTAGGACTTAAATATTCTCTAGACAGTCTGAAAGTTTCTATACACATTTAAAACATTAACTTTTACAAGGATGGCCACATGGATTTACTCTTTCGCATGTCTTTAAACATTTTTGCTTGTCATGGCCAGTTTTATTTGTTTCTGTTATCTCATAATTGTGGCAAAGCCTTTCACATTTGTGACCACAAGGTAATCTAGAGTCACAATTTTCTAGACAGCCTCCTTCTGGAACTGTTTAGAAATCCTATGCTTATTTTATTAGTGTATACTTTTTGTGATTATTACAACACAACTTCAATTCATCACCATACAAATTGTTCTCACGAAGATAAGATAAAACTTTATGCCAAAGATGTCCTTACTCATCAAGTTTCTTGATATCTTACTATTCTAAGCATTTTGAATTTCCAAACATATAGAATCCTTACTTAGCCCTTGACAAAGCAACACATACTCTGTTACTAACTTTTAGATAGCCAATATTATTTTTAGCGTTGGACCTAACTAATGATAATATTACGATGTCATTCTCTTCTCCTTAAAAGTTATCAACAGTTATTACCTTAATTTAATTTATGGGATCATCTTTGTGATACCCTTCCTTAACTAGCTTTTTAATGTAAAAAGATTGGCCTTGATACAAGGATAAAACTGTAATTTGAGAGGGCTTATAGTTTTATTGAATTAGATAATTGCTGAACTTGATAATGACATCAGCTTCAAATTTATTCAATTTGGAAGTCAATCCCTCATCTTCTTACTCAAATTGATTATGATTCATGAAGAATACATTTTTGTCTAGTCCTTTTATTGAAGGGTAATTTCTTACTTTATTATCATCAGTTAAACTTGGATAAAGGAATCTAAGCATCTGGGAGATTTCTGGCCTCATTCTTCTTTAATTTGTTAGTGTAGTGTATTCAAAGTCATTCTTAACAAGTCTTTCAAACATTGACATATGTAAATTGTATTCCTTTTCCATTTCATAAACAGCTGGTGAAGGTCTTAGTTGCTAATGATCACCAATTAATACCAAATGTTCAGTTTTCTAACTAAGAGCTGTTAAAATATGACCCTCAAATACCTCGGCTGCTTCTTCAACTATTACAATTGGGAAGTTAACATCTATAAGTAATTCACTGTTTTTTGCGCAACCAGTTGTAGTCATTGCTACTATATCTGCCTTTTGGATTGCTTAGCAGTAAGCAATACTTTATAAGCTCTGCTTTCTGTGATATTTGATTTTATAGTTTTATATTAACTAAGAAATTTCCTTGAAGGAGGAAGCATCTTGAGGATCCGCATAAAAGTTGTTAATCTACCATCTTCTTTCTATTCTTTGATCAAAGAGAGGGTAATCATTAAAATTAATTTTAGTGGTTGAGCCTAGTTATTGACCTGTTTTAATACATTCCATCTGACTATTTAAACCTTTAAAGAAATCTGATGAAAGATCTGAATGAAAATGTTTGGTGAGATTAAGATACTTCTACTTAATAAATTTGATTTCCTTTATTCTGTTTTTATATGATGCATTATCCTCTATCATATCTTCATATTCTAATTCCCTTTAGTTTAAATCATCTTCGTTGAAATCTAGACCTTAATTCTAGTTAATGTTATTTAGCTTTATTTCCTCTCTCAAGTTAAGAATGTATTTTTGAATGTCTATTAGTCCTAACCAAAATAATACTGGCATATCGGGTTCATTTTTCAAATTTTAGACTACAATATTAATGGCAATATTGTACTAGTCTTCAAATCTTGGTCTTGAAAAAGTTTGATTGAGACAATTTTTAAGTACGCTATTAAATTCTTTCGTAAGACTAACTAAAATTTCTTTAGCATCACTATTTTTAGAGAAATAATTTATCAAGCCCAGCTAGTTTAATTGAATTTAATAGTTCCTCTAAGTAATCTTAAAGGACAGATCGTCAATCTCTCGAATAACTTATCCGAAGGATCTTGAATATTTTACATTGTTATTTTTGATAAACTATTGAATAGAGTGGTTTTTAAGAGATTCATCTTAACTTCTACCCCCAATTCTAACAAAATTTTTAGTATATTTTTTAATCAAGTTTAGAAATTAATCTAATGCATGATTTGTATAGCAGACAAGTAGTATCGGGCCTTTATCTTTCTTCCAAAATTATTTTGTTTCCATTAAGATTCTGACAAAATGCTCTCCTACATAAGTTTTCCCTGTACCAGGGGGACCTTGAATTATTGCTAACTCTTTAAACATGCAAGTATTCAGAGCATTAGCTTAGTTTTAATCAAAGTTTGCTTTTTTGATACTTTGATTAATTGCTTCAAGGAAATTTAACCTTTTATTCGAATTTTCAAACTACTAAAATATGATTGGCTCATTGATATCTTCCTTTATTTAGCCAGTCAGATATTCTGCAAATGGAATACTGTCCCATTAGTCCATTTACTTTAATTTCTTGAGTACATGATAGTAAGATTCAAAGTATGCAGTTGATTCAATCATTTTTAGTTAGGAGTCTCTGTGCTAAAGATAAAAATCTAATACAGGAGATTCTTTTTAATTGTAAAGTTATCTCACATATTGATCTTCTTCATCATCACTCTCATCAGAATTAAGAAGATTTATCATTCTATTTTATTGAATTTCATTTGACACATGTTGAATCTTTATTTCAACGTACTTATACTTTTTGGAGGTGTCAGCCATCTTCTTAGCATCTCTGTCGCAAACCAAGAATAAGTTAAGAGTCTTGAAATTATCCTTGCTTAAAATTATTAACGACCCAGGTAGTAATCTTTTACTTGCATTCCAATTCGATTTCCCGTTCTCATAAATTCTTAGAGTAATGGCAACATCAGGACTATTCCTCGTAAATGATAAGTTTTGCAGATAAGTAGTTTCATAAAATCTCACTCCTGCATCTCTCATCTATCTGTTCAACTATTTGATGATTTAGTAATTACTTAGTTCAGGGGACTGCTTAGGTTTAAATCTATAAAATTATAGCATAATGCAACAAATTTTACTTACTTTTTCATAACATCGATTCCTTCTCTCAAAGGTCTAATAGCATCTTCTCTAAGCAACCTATAAACAATGTCTAGATAGTCATGAGTATCATCGAATTCTCCTTTCTCTGGCATTTGTCTAAGAAAAGGTTACTAACCTGATAAGAGTTCATGAGAAGTTGGAACAACATCTATATCTTAAAAGTTATCTTAAGGTTTAATTTTATAGTTTCCTCCCTTCATCTCTTCTTGCATTTACTTTTACTTCTAATCTAGCTTTTTCTCCTCTTCTTTGGAGTCTTTTAGGCATTATATTCTCTTCTCTAGTAACTTAATTGCCATATCTTATAGCCCCTTTACTTAAAGACTATGAAGATTAAGCAAGTCACAAGATTCTTAAACTAATGTGATGTCATCCCTAATAAATGCTGCAAATATAGCAATAGGAATTTTGTGAATCTTAGATTTAAATTTGTCTATCAAGATCATGAAAATCTCAAAGAGCAACTTCAAATCATCAAGTCTGAACTTATAGTCATTCAAATTTCTAATGTTGCTAATAAGGTCGTTAATATAATCATTCTAGAGTCTTTCAAAAAATTTTGATTCCATGAATCCAACTGATATCAGATTTAGCTATGCTGACTGAATACTTTTATCATAGCAAAGTTTATACCAAATATTAATGAGATGAGAATAACCTCTGACAGAATATTTTGTTGCATCAATCGAAGCTGAGAGGTCCTTGTAATCCAACAATTTTTAAGCAATCTATTATCCTGTCATTTCTCTTATCTATTCCAGTTCTTTATTCATAAAGAATCTTGCTCTTCCCCCTTCTGTTTTTTAATTATTACCAGAATCAAGGATAATTCTGGAACTATTACCTTGTCCTCCTACATTTTGAGATCCTCTACCTCTATAATTTTTTCCTCTAAAGCCTCTACCTCTTGATAAGGAATTATTAGGTTGAATGTTTGCAAATTATTGAAATTTTTCAAGAATTTCTGGAGATATATCAATGTTATTTTCTCTATAGTAGATAGTTAATCATATAAGATTAATCTAAGATTAACTCACCTTAATTACGCTTTCATTTCTTCCAGAATATTTGAGTTCTGTTGATAGAGATTTCTATCAGCATATTCATTTTAACCACTAAATCTTGGCATATGGTTAAATTAGGTATTGAATTCTTTATTCTCTTCATCTTAGCCGTAGTAGCCTCCTCTTCCTCTTCTAGTATCTCCTCTGCCACCTCTTGTTCCTCTTTTAAATTGATTAGCTCTTCCTCTTTCCATATTTTGTATCAAATAATGATTATTTAAAAAGTTTTAACCAGAAGTATTAATAATATTTTAACAAACTCAACTTTACAACCAAGATCAATTAAATATTTAAACTCTAAGTTACTCCTTTTTTAATTTTAATATTCTAATTTTTTAGATTCTTTCTATAATCGAGTTCCGGGGTTTTGGGGTTTTGGGG